GTGGCGGCGGGGCCGTCGGCGCAGGCGGGGCAGAGGCCGTGCAGACTTGGGGCGGTTCGGGCAAAACTGCTGAGTGTTGTCTTTCCTGCCACGAAAGAGCCAGAGCAGCTTGAACTAAATCGGATCCTGCTGATTGGAATTAGTTCAAATGCAGATGGAGCTAACTAAGCCGGCGCTAAGCGTTCGGACAGCCCAGCGCCCAATTCCCATCAGCTGATTCAGGGGCTTTTCTGAGCGGCATTAACGAAATGCCACCGCGGCACAGATGCCCATTGTGCCGGGCGCCCACCCTCTCGCCCACAGGCGCTTTAGGGGACTGCGGGGTGCCCGGCGGGGTGCCAGGACAGAGGGACATTGTCGTGGTGTGTTCACGGCACCGGGGCCCTCGTGGTTATGAAGCGTGCCCGTGAAGGTGGGGTGAAGCGCGGCGGAGCGGTCGGAAAAATCATCTCCACTGCTTGATGCTGGGAGAGGGAGGCAGAACCGGGGTCTGAATTAATTGGCAGTTTTATTTAGTTTGGCATGTGGCTCCCGCACCTCTCCCGGTTGATGCCGATGATGCTCCGGCGGTGCGTGGCCGAGGTCGGGATGGCTCCGGGAGACTGCCGGGCTGTGCGGGGGTGCGTGGCAGAGCAACGGTGGGGAGAGCAGCCGTGCCATCACGGGGGTGTCCCCAGGGGACCTGCATTGCCAAGGGTGCCCGCAGCTCCTGTGAGCAGCTGCCAGCATCCCCCCTTCGCCGGGGGCTCAGCCCCGGAGCAGCGCTGCATCCTCACCCTCCCTCCTGTCGGTACCCGGCTTTGGTGCCCCGCCGCGGCACTATCAGGATGGCGTTGGGGTGGCACTGGGGTGACCTTAGAATAGTGTCAGGATCGCATTGGGGTGGCACTGGGGTGACCTTAGGATAGTGTCAGGATGGCATTGGGGTGGCACTGGGATGACCTTAGGTTAGTGTCAGGATGGTACTGGGGTGGCATCCTGCCCCACAGGGGTGGGTTGGCCTCTCCGCTCGCCCCGTGCCTCTCCATCCCCTGGGTGTCTTCTCCTTGCTCCCGGATCCCTTTTCCCCAGGGAGCAGCAGGGACCTGACGCGCATCCGGCAGCGGCACGAGCTGCCCGCGAAGCCCGTGCCCCGGCGTGCGGGGACAGGGACAGGGGGCAGCGTCCCCGGCAAGGAGCTGGCCCCGCTGCAGGGGAGGAGGTGACGTCTGCCCGCTAATCGGCCAGATGGTGACAGCCGGCGGCACGCCGGCCCCCAGGGCCCCGCGTAGGG